AAAACACCATTTCATGTTGCCTTATGCATCAATCAAATCTTTTAATGTCATAAACTTCCATACACTCTAATTGATTCAGGGAAAGACCAACCTCTAACTTAATTGGCAAATCAACTGTATGGTTTCCCATCTATGGTAGAGGCTTTCTTTGACAATTACCCAATATTATGTACAACTACAATATAGTCATAAACAAAAAACACATGAAAAAAGCCACAGGTAAAATAATAGTGAAGATCATATAATCCGTACATCTTTATTTAGAAGTTAAAAGATGATAGTGTTAAAATGCTATATTTACAAATGTTTGTTTCATTCAGTCTTCGAGCACACAATTGGAAACCAAACTTTCAATAACCTTTTCCAGATCTAAGAGGCTTACTGTCTGATAACAACAAGAGATCACCTATTGAGATATCATTGTTAGCATGTCATTCTGAATCAGATTTTTGTGAATATAAACTAAATGATCACTCTAAACTTTTAATAAGTTTCCTGATCCAATAAATATTACCCAGTTTATTTTCCCCTATGTATGAACTATATCGTTGAACCCTCTTATTTTAATGTTAAATAAAATTTATTCTAATGACTCTTTGTCATATATTACAAATAAAAGCATCCCCTAATCAGAAAACTGTAGATTAAAACTTAAATAAGCCCATGCATTTGTTAATAAAAACATGGAAAGACACCTACTGTACATAAGAAAAAACCCTCTTAATAGCAAAAATGTGTGATTTAACTTTAAAAAATCAGAAGTATTTAAGTATTTTAAATACTGCAGAAACTGGCTAAAACCTGATCAAAGAGAAAGGCATTCACATATGACATTGATGGAGTGCAACCTGGGAGGAAAGTTAGGAAAAAAATGTGAATTGTGGAAAGGTAATTCTCCAACTGGATCACCGATTCCCTAAAAACCTTGTTAAGAAGTCTGCTGGGCTGTACACCAATGCTGTTGATTCCACGCTGGTAGACCTAGAAATGTGGCCATCTAATAGGAATCTACAGGATTCCTGTGCTGCTGATCCAGAAAGCCCACTTCGAGCAGAGCACCATGGTATTAGAAGAAGGAGGTGATCTAGGCAGAGGACTGCAGGGACTGGGGCAAAGGGTAGAACACCTGAATAAAGCGCAGGCTAAGGGAATGCAAGGAGAAACATTTAGAGGTCCCCATAATTTTTAACTGATAACATGAGGACCATTGCAAATTTAGTCTTGCTTGGTTTTAATCAAAATTATCTATGTTTCATATTGTCAAATCATTTCATTCCTGTATCTTACTGTGATAATACTGAACCAGCAATGAAAAACACATTCTCTTTGGCTATGTTGGATAGGAGCTCCCAACACAAGTCCCAGAACTGGGGCCAGCTAGTGCCCATAAGACTCAGCAGTCTGTACTCTACCCCTGTCTTGCCAGCTCTAGGCCATTCATATTTTCCCATCTGATAGAAATAATGACATGTAACTTCAGGGATTTAAGTGTGACTTAATCACAAATTACATATTAAAAATATTTAATATGCCATAAAAATATATCATTAACTCTTTACTGAACTACAAATATTAAATACTGAATATTTCCCAAAGTCATCCCACTGGCCTGTGTGACTCCTAGACTTGGCCCCTGTAGCTAAGGCTCTACTCAGAGTGGAGGTATTGTGGAGGGGAACCCAGGACACCCTGTGTACAGTTTAGGACGTGCCTCATGTCTTTGATCCACCTGTTTGTAAGCTGTGTCTCTTAAAATTCCATTGTTGGTTCCCGATATTCTATCTGCTGACCTTCTTGTTCTCAGTGATGAAGGATAAAAAAAAATATTTTAAAACCTGGCTAAAAATAACTGCAAGGGAGCTACCAACTACATGCTAGTAGGGACATATAATTCTAACATGCTATGTTCTACAAAAGTGACTTGATAAAAGGCTATTACATTTTAATTACAAAAGATTGATTTGGAAAAATATTGTGATGAGCAGCATACTTTGATATCAGATCCTTGTTTGTAACCAGTGTAATCTGCTCTGAACTAAATACCCAACATGTCCCCAAAATTGGTCAAGCAGGAACTTCTAACATTTTGGTTTCAGTATTTCCAAAAAGAGATCATAATATCGTATAAGACTTAGTATCTTTATTGAAGTACATTCATTTTGCTTGCAAGTAAGAATGCTTATTACCAACTTCTTTATGGTTCACATATTTGAACCTAGTGTATCTGACCCAGGTTGGCTATTGAAATCGACTGAGGCTTGAAAATACATGCACACATTCAATGATTCTCACAACAATCTAAAACTTTTGGTAGTTGGTTAAAATTTATAGCCAGCTTAGAAAACTAAGGGCCCATTCCAGACTCACTGCTTCAGAAGTTGCAGGAAAAGAGTTCCGATACTATTGTGGCTCACAGAAAATCTGACAACTTCATAAGTTTATAGAAAGAACATCTACTTCACTCGGCACACTCCTACTTGCTAAACTGTTGGCTGAAAGTTGGGCTCACTCTCTCAAGTCTCTGAGTAGTGCTTTCTGTTCTTCACCACACTCTACAGTACACAAATTGAGACATGCACTCACCATTTTATTCCTTCAAACTCATGAATTCTCCCTTGTACATACCTGGTTTACTGCTAGCAGAGGTGGAGGAAGGTCTAGCAGAGTCTCCAGAGCTGGCAGTAGTGGAGCCTGCAGACACTCCTGTGGTCCCTGGAAACGAGCACCAGTGCTTAGGTGGGGGGTGCATGTCATTCCTGCTCTCCATATGAGTATTTGGGTTTTTCCCAAAAAATGAAACCAGTGATCCCTTCATCTTTCCTTAGTCCTACTATATAATCCCAGTCAGTGCCCAATATTGTAGACCTGTCTCTGCTACAGGAGAACACAGATAGGGAGGTCCTAATGTATCACATCCAACCTGGTAAACCTCACCTGAAACACTGGTTCCAGGGGCTGCTCCTTCAGGGGTGCTGCCATCTCTAGCTTCAGGGGTAGTTCCCGATGATGTCGCAGGTGTGCCTGATTATTTATTGGGGGACAATGTCAGCTTAGGAAAATCAAAAAAAGTGTCTTTCTTTATATGAACTAGAATGGATGTAACTACATTGTGAATTTCACAAACATTTTAATTTCTCTCTCCAGGTAAATAAGTAACTTATCTGAGATAATAATGAATATTTTAATAAAGTTTCTATATTAATAAAATGTAACAATCATATAGACCATTTATGATTTACAATCTAAGTCCTTATCTCTTGTTCTCACAATTATATTATGATCCAGTTTGCATATTTCCACTTCTTCATTGCTGTGCTGCTTATCCTTTGAAAATGAATGCTTCCCAAACTTTGCCTAGATTCAACAAAGTTTATAACACCACAGTAAGTACATAACAAATACCTAGCAATCTACTTCTGATCATCTGTATATTTGGCATCATATAAATAACAATGGTCAGACTCCTAGGAAACCCCACCTCTGACTAAATTTGAGCACAGGGCTCACATGTCTACTGCCTGGATTTCATGCTCCTTAAGCTCCATCAGTACCTGTCCTTCCAGATGTGTTGTCACCAGCAGAGACAGTGGTGGCTGTGTCAGTTGCTCCTCTTGTTGCTAATGGGAGAAACAATAGTGCTTAGTGTACAGAGAGGAAGAAAAGCTCCTACCAGAACATTCCATGGTTTTATTCTAGTCATCAGTTCCTTCCATATTCTCCATTGTTTCAATCCCTGTGCTTATTTTCACTCTCAGGAATCTTGACAAAACTTGGATTAGACCCCACCACAGTCCCTAAGGAGGCTCTGTCTTACCTGCTGGGCTTCCAGTGCTGGTGGCCCCAGTGCCTGAAGGTGCAGGTGTACTTGCACTGCCTGCTCCTGAGGTTGATCTCAAGGACTCTCCTGTTGTACCTGATAAACACAGTAGCAGGGCTTGCAACTTATGCTAGTTCCTCGGAAGGAGGAGATTGGGAGATTAAGACAAACTTCAATCTTCATATACATTTTCTTGCCTAGATGCTTGCATATTTGAACCCAATAATATTCACTTAGTGTACCTCCTAACTTACCTGAGTTCTCTTGGCTGGTAGCTCCAGTGCTGGGTTCCCTGGGTGTGCTGCCCTTCTCCACACTGGGGGTTGTTCCACTTGGGCCTCCTGTTCCTACTGATGTAAAACACCATTTCATGTTGCCTTATGCATCAATCAAATCTTTTAATATTATAAACTTCCTTTCAGTCTAACTAATGCTGGAAAAAACCAAACTCTACTTATTTGGCAAATCAACTGTATGGTTTCCCATCTATGGTAGAGGCTTTCTTTGACAGTTACCCAATATTATGTATAACTACAATATAGTCATAAACAATAAACATGAAAAAAGCCACAGATAAAATATAGCGAAGGTCATATAATCTGTACATCTTTACTTAGCAGTTAAACGATGATAATGTTAAAATGCTATATTTACAAATGTTTGTTTCATTCAGTCGTCGAGCACACAATTGGAAACCAAGCTTTCAATAACCTGTTCCAGATCTAAGGGGCTTACTGTCTGCTAGCAACAAGAGATCACCTATTGAGATATCATTGTTAGCATGTAATATTCTGAATCTTATTTTTGTGAATAGAAACTAAATGCTCATTCTAAATTTAAATAAGTTTACTGATCCAATAAGTATTACGCAGTTTATTTTCCCCTATGTATAAACTACTTCATTGCACCCTGTTGTTTTAATGTTAAATAAAGTTTATTCTAATGACTCTTTGTCATATATTACAAATCAAAGCATCACTCAATCAAAAACCTGTAAAATAAAACTAAAATAAGCCCATGCATTTGTTAACAAACACATTGTACATGAGAAAAACCCTCTTAATAGCAAAAATGTGTGATTTATCTTTAAAAAAATCAGAAGTATTTACGTATTTTAAATACTGCAGAAACTGGCTGAAAACTTATCAATAATAAAGGCATTCACATATGACATTGATGGAGTGCAACCTGGGAGGAAAGTTGGGAAAAAGTGTGAATTGTAAAAAGGTACTTCTCCAACTGGATCACCGATTCCCTAAAAACCTTGTTAAGAAGTCTGCTGGGCTCCACACCAACGCTATTGATTCTACCCTGATAGAATCAGAAATGCAGCCATCTAATAAGATCCTACAAGATACCAGCACTGCTTATCAAGAAACCAAACTTTGAGCAGAGCACCATGTGTTAGATGAAAGAGGAGAACTAGGCAGAGGACTGCAGGGACTGGGGCAAAGGGTAGAACACCTGAATAAAGGACAGGCTAAGGTAATGCAAGGAGAAGACATTCAGAGGTCCCTATAACTTAACTGATGACATGAGGACCATTGCAAATTTAGTCTTGCTTGGTTTTAATCAAAATCATCTATGTTTCATATTGTCAAAAACATTTCATTCTTGGATCTAACTGTGATAATACTGAGCCAACAATGAAAAACACATTCTCTTTGGATTTGTTGGATAGGAGCTCCCAACCCAGGTCCCAGAAGTGGGGCCAGCTAGTGCCCATGAGGCTCAGCAGTCTGTACTCTACTCGTCTCTTGCCAGCTCGAGGCCATTCATATTTTCCCATCTGATAGAATAATGACATGTAACTTCAGGGATTTAAGTGTGACTAAATCACAAATGACATATTAAAATAGTTAATATGCCATAAAATATATCATTAACTTTTTACTGAACTACAAATATTAAATACTGATTATGTCCCAAAGTCATTTCACTGGCCTGTGTAACTCCTAGACTTGGCCCCTGTAACTAAGGCTATACTCAGAGTGGAGGTATTGTGAATGGGAACCCAGGACTGCCTGTGTACATTTTAGGATGTGCCTCATGTCTTTGATCCACCTGTTTAAAAACTATCTCTTGTAATTCCATTGATGGTTCCTGCTGTTGTATCTGCTGACCTTCTTGTTCTCAGTGATGAAGGATAAAAAAAAAATATTTTAAAACCTGGCTAAAAATAACTGCATGGGAGCTACCAACTACATGCTAGTAGGGACATAGTTATAACATACTATGTTTTACAAAAATGACTTAATAAAAGGCTATTACAAATTAATTATAAAAGATTGATTTGGAAAAATATTGTGATGAGCAGCATACTTTGATATCAGATCCTTGTTTGTAGCCAGTGTAATCTTCTCTGAACTAAATACCCAATGTGTCCCCAAAATTGGTCAAGCAGGGACTTCTAACAATTAGGTTTCAGTATTTCCAAAAAGAGATCATAATATCGTATAAGACTTAGAATCTTTATTGAAGTACATTCATTTTGCTTGCAAATAAGAATGCTTATTACCAACTTCTTTATGGTTCACATATTTGAACCTAGTGTATCTGACCCATGCTGCCTCCTGCATCAACTGAGGCTTGAAAATACATGCACACATTCAATGATTCTCACATAAGTAATACGAATTTTTCAATAGTTGGCTAAAATTTATAGCCAGCTTAGAAAACCATGGGCCCATTCCAGACTCACTGCTTCAGAAGTTGCAGGAAAAGAGTTCTGACACTATTGTGGCCCACAGAAAACCTGACAACTTCATAAGATTTTAGAAAGATCATCTACTTCACTCAGCACACTCCTACTTGCTAAACTGTTGGTCAAAAGTTGGGCTCACTCTCTCAAGTCTCTGACTAGTTCTTTCTGTTCTTCACCACACTCTACAGTACACAAATTGAGACATGCATTCACTCACCATTTTATTCCTTCAAACTCATGAATTTTTCCGCGTACATACCTGGTTTACTGCTAGCAGAGGTGGAGGAAGGTCT